ATAAAAACTTGGGTTCTAATTGAAGGGAACTTAATTTCTTCAACATGCTCTGCTATCTACCTTTATAAACTCTGTTCCAACAGCCCTGATTAGGTCTTTTTTAATCTAGTTTTTCTTTACTGAGTGATTACAAGACAAGTGACTCAGAAGATACATCCTTCAGGAAAAAAAACAACCACATTTAGGCTTGGGAATAAGCTGTACAACAGCTGGGGAGTTAAAAAGAATGACAAAACCATTATGTTTCGAGACAAAAGAATGATGTGTGGAAGTTGGCTAAATCAATAACTAATTGTAAACTATGCATCCAGTCCTAGAGGTGATCCAATAATTGAAATCTGCTGCTGGTCACTGGAGTCCTGTTTAGCAGGGTCAGCTCATAACTCAAGTGACTTTTGCACTTCTCATTGATTTTATTTAGCAGTAGATTTGTGGTTCAGATAAGACTATTCATTCCTCAGCACTGCTTCAGATTCAATGAAAGCAATCACACTTGATTAAATATGTTTGTATGTAATCTTTAAAAACATGCAAATAAGAATCTTTTTTGACCATATACTAATAAATCTGTGCACAATAAAAATTGCTGGGTTTATTTTCCTCTTTAAGCTTACATTATTCATAGGAATGCTGTATTATTTTCATGATTTAAAAAAAAAGACAGTTGATAATCTTTTTCTGTAAACATTAGTTATCAGGCTCAGGGGCAGTTAGAGCAGTAGGAGATGAAGGTAAAAAAAAAGAGAAAATCTTAAGAAACTAGAGAAGTAGTCTCAATTACAGAATCACACACATCAGCAAACCAAAACTGCTATTTTTGCAGTTTGTCATGCTGCTTCTCCAATGCAGAGTAATATCTTCCCTCTTTTTTTTGGCCAGCTTTGACAATTCTATTTTATATGACATGGAATGGAGAAAATTAGGGGATGTGCTGTCTTCAGGAGTCATCCTCACTGAACTGCAGTGGGACACAAGTTTTCCTCAAAGTTTTTTCACTTTGTGTCTGGCACAGGGACAGTGGGGATCAGGGCTTGACTGCAGGAAAAATTATTAACAAGATTTTTGTATTCAGCTTTTGTAGATAGAATATATTTCACTTTTCATTCATGTGATGAGATTGTATTTCACTTTTGACTCACTTGTGATAGCTCAGTGGTGTCAATGGATGTTCCTTTTCCTTGTCCCTATACATTCCATTTCCATACCTTCAACTGTTCAAGTTTTTGTTTCATGGTTTTTTTCTTCTGCCTTTCTGGAGTCCACCAGACAGGAGCCAATATCAAAGGAACTAAAAGGGAAAACAGCCCTGGGCAGTGAAGAACCAGGATGCAGAGGCAGCAAAGCTCAGAGACAGAAACAGAAAACTCTGTTCCAACTCCTAGGCTGCCAATGCTTCTCTTTGAGAGCCCCAGCAGATCAGCACAAGAAGAAAAAAGGTCACAACAAAGTTGTAGTCTGACACACAATCAGGGCAATCACCAGGATGAGAAATAAGAGCAACATCAGAATTCTTTCAGCCCTGGGGCAGTTGCAATTCGGGCAAATTAATATTTCTGAGCCAAGAGGGGTGTTTTACCCTACTCTAAAAACCTAAATAATGTTTGGCAGGTACTTGCTACAGGTTTTTTTCCTTTGGTTTAATCTCACCTTTGGCATTTCAGGCTGAAGATTTTTGTGATGCTCTGCTACAATTTGCTATTGCCCTGGTTCCCATTCCTAACCCCAGACAGAAGGAGCAACAGAGGGAAACAGAGCAATGCCCATGAATTCTTCTTTTTCAGACCTGCAGCAGCTTGTGGTGCCATTATAATCTTTGTGGGTGATGGGCAACTGAGCAAGTGATAGCAAAGTTTTAAGATTTTGATTTAGAAGCAAAACAAAACCGTCTGTGCCCTTAAACTGTTGTTTAGAAAATGCTGCTTAACCACTTCACTATTTAATTTCTAGCACAAATTCATAGCAAACTTGATGAGATGGTAAACTCCATCAACTTTTAAATAAAAACTCTCAGATATCAGACCCTCCATGTTTATTAAAACCATCAGAAGAAACTGAGATGGGAAGATGACAATTTTCTTTTACAAGACCATATTCACAGTTTTCTTTGCAAATTCTCCAATTTACTTATGATGAGATGCTTAAAGTAATACTTACTGATCCTGGTTCTCTGATATAAATCAAGAATGCCACCATTAAACCTTTTTCAATATTTCTTTGTTTCTGGGACCAGAATAATGGAACTGAAAAGATGACATCCTTACTAGTTTAGCTGATATTAAGTAGAAGCAAGCTGTAAAATACAGACCACCTCTTCAGTTCCTGTCTCTTTCTTTCAACCAGCTTTGATTGGCAAATTTGCTCACAATGCTCCACATCCTAAATAATACAGATCTTCCTGCTATTGTCTCATCTACTTTTAACACAGAAGAGACATTTTCCAGTTTTTAAATTATAAGAATTTAGGCAATTTATAGAGCAGCCTTCCTCTAAGTCAGTTTTTAACTAAACTCACCCATTTTGTGAAAGAATCTGGAAAAGGCAATGTCATCAGATGCACTACAACAATCATATATTAATACAACTTGCTTATTCACCCGAGTGAATTCTCAGAGAACTGCTGATCCAAGAATAGCATCTTTTTTTAGCCCGGTCTTGTCTGAACCAAGAACTCTAACAACAACAAAAAAATCTAGTCCTACCCCTACAGAAAATCCTAATCAACATAGAGAACAGATTATGAAACCTAGTCCCATGTCCTGGCTAGAAGATGCTGAACAGGTTAAAAAAAAAAAAAAAAAATCAAAAAAATATTAAATGCCAGGTCTTTAATTCTCAAGTAAGCAGAGCATACAAAAATTAAATTCCTGTTTCTCTTGCATAGAGCAGTTCTAACACAACTCCCATTTGTGCCAGCTGGGAGGTGCCCTTTGACTCCTGCCTAACACAATGCAGGATTTCTATTGGCAAAATTGCACTCTAACAGGTAAATTGCAGAGGACAGTTCAGAATTATGATGATCTAGGAAAAAAAAAAATAGAAAGAGACCAAAAACCCTATCAGCAAGCCTTATCATATTGCAGGCTTGCTGCCAAACCTCCAAGCTCTGCAAATATGAGTGTAGAAAACACAAATGTTTCCTACCCTCCGTATCATTTGCAGGAAGTGTTGCATCTATGTAATCAAAACCTGTGTTTAAAATGCCATATTCCATGAACATGATTACTTTATTAACTACACTGTGAGCTAAATAAATTGGGTTAATACCCTAGAATTTCTTGCTTCAGGACTTTCAGGTCAAATTCTGTCACACTAATTGCTGCAAATAATAAGTGACATTACAGATGTATCTGTACAAATAACTTGATTTGCTCCAAATCCCAAATAGGTGCTGCAGAATGCACATAAATGAAGGCTCTTAATTCACATGAAACTTAATTTCAGTGCTCAGAAATTAACATCCTCTGGGCTATCATACCATGCAGCTGTGAAAATACCCAGGTCCCAAATCCTGAGCTAGGGAGCATTTAGACCATGCTCTTCCACACAAAAAATCAATCCTACAACTAATGCAATGACCTTCTGGTTCCTCAAAACAGTCATTTTCATTTTCATCTTGCCCAGTCTGTACCTGAGGCAGAGTAGTGGCACTTGAAGAGAGTTTCATTTCACACCAAGTGAAGAGCTGTTTTCAACAGTGCTTCAGAGTAATCTCCTTTTTTGAAGGAGTGTTATTTTAAAGTAATTCTTACATTTATGGCCTCTTATACTTTTGAAAGCATTCGGAAAGACCAGTAAAAAGACTTACCAGCCATTTAGACAGAAATGACAGAAGAATGGGATTGTTAGCTAGAAAATCCTCTGGCATCTGTGCTTGCTTGATGAAACCCAAGACACCAGGTTTGGATGCAAACCTGTAGGAGCTGATTTCATACTAAGACAAGAGCTTTAGCTTAGCTCTTTCAAGGTACCTTTATAATAGGTAATAAAGGCACTTTTCAAATGAATGGGAGACTTCAGCATGAAATACTCCTTTTCTGAGAATGGAAAATACAATGCAATCTTTTCCTTTAGTATTGTACCCGCTAAGAAAATTCATGCAATTGTGCAATTTCTGCACCAGACAAGGGTCATTTCTTTGGTGTCCACACAGACCAAGTAACAATAACAAACAAACCCCCTTCAGCAGCATCTTACACCTCCCAAACATGGCCTAAAATCCATTATTAATTCCAAAATTAGTCTTGGAATACCAGTTAATATCCCAGTAATATTTGCTGTCTGTCGAAGTACTATATAACATTAACCTTAATTATACATTTGAAGTCAAATATTTATTTTACCTGTCAGGCCTTCAAATTCAGCCTACATACTGACTAACAAAAGTCAGTGTGATCCTATCCCTTAATTACACGCCCAGTTATGTCCAGAAGACTTGATATTTGAAACTACTGTAGAAAAAAAATTTGTTGCTACATCTCTGAATAGTCACATGTGGAAAAAGAATCAGCCATGCTTTTGTTTAAGCTTATTTTCATAAGAACAAAAAAAAAAAAAAAGCCACCTTAAAAAAACACACCATGGGAAAAAAACAGAGATGCTTACAGCACTACAAGTCTCTAACAACAAATCTTACATGATCAGCATAACAAATGACAGATAAAATGCCATCTATTGAATTGCTTTCAAGAATACAAAATGTTGTTGTTCCTACTGCTTTTTACTACTATGATTCATGCTCTTGAAAGTGCTATGGATCAATTGGACACCTCATATTGTTAATCCTAAAGATTTTATATGAAAGCTCTAATTAATGTTTTCAAGGAGCAAAGCTGCATGTAGACAGCCTCCCTTCTGGTTTACCTGCAAGTTTCTGACAGAGGTCACAGAACATATCAGTTATCAGCTGCTACATTAGCTATTTTAATTGCTCAGTGGAATAACTTCAGGCTGCACTATACTTGCCTTGATATATAATAACCATCCAGGCTGTTTTCTCTTACCTTCCATCTCCAAAAGTACAAATGCTCAAAGTTAGAACAGAGAAGAATTATGTTCAAGTCCCACAGCACTTGAGGCAACTCAGATAGTTAGAAAATGCAAAAGTATTACTATTATTAATCCTCTGAAACACTGAACAGCAAATAGAAAAGCACTTGGAACTTGTTGCTTAGACCCATTCTTCTACCAGCTCTGAGAGATTTCCTTTATAGTGCTGTTTGTGTTGCAGGTGGGTTTGGCAAAGTTTGATCTAATTAAAATTATATGTGTTAGTTAAATTGTATTGCAAACATCTGCAGTTTTCACCACACAGGCTTCATTAGCACAGCAACAGCCTTGGAAATACAGCTGAAGCTAAAAGTTGTTCTAAATTTCCTGTGACCTTTGAATCTTTTCCTGTCTTGCAGTCAAATATCCCAGCCTCAAAACTGTACCCTTAACATAGTCCTAGAGATGCCACTGGCTACTGGGAAACACTGTTCATTCTGCAGTGAGAAAACAATCAAATACTATAGGAAAACAATTTTATACAAATTAAAAGCTATTTGTTTCAATTGCCAGCTAAGACAAGATGATGATGTGTTTAGATATTGCTGTATTAATACCTCTAGTTAAAGGACAATTTTACATACCTTGAGATGGGATAAAAATGAGATGGAATTTGACTTGGAATTCATGTTAAATACAGTTCCTAATCAACTGCTAACCAAGAAAAAACATAGAAATTTTCAACAGTTTATTAAGATGGTAAAGGATTAATGCAGAGTTCAATAAAAACCTTTGAAATACACAAATAATGCAGGTATGAAGCCTAACCTCATCCAGACAGATAATGAAAAATTACATATAAAATACAAGATAGATGTAACAGATTTACATATAGTCAGATACTGATAGCAACATTTTATCTCACTGGTGAAACAATGAACAATAATTATTACTTATACACTTTTATTTTGATTGCTACCCTCAGGTTACAAAAAATAATCAGTTTGGCTCATCTTTTAAAAAAATGCTGGAGAATTTAGCAATAAGAATCAGAAGCCATGGGACACATTAGATGTAAATCTGTGACACTTTTTAAAAATACCAAGGCCAAAGGTGGCAATGTTTGGAGTAATTTTTGCAGTTTGGTACCTGTGAAGCAGCAGCCCCTGGAAAGAATGTAATACATCATACATCACTGCAGCCTTGTTTGCTTGTGCTAAACAAAATAAATTCCTCTAATTATTTATGTATGTCAGCGCATTGCTGATTCACAGCTTCTCTAATTTCAGCTGTGTTTTGGCATTTTGCCTTGGATTTGCTTCAGACCTCTGTCATTTGTCTTTGCAATGGAGTAATCGTTTCCTTGGCAGAGGATGTGACACTTATTGTGAGATACTAAGTAGCCAAGGAGTTGTTTCCTCAAACACAGAGGGAAAATACGTTTTGAATAAAGAAGCTTTTAAACTAAATAGAGTAAGTGTCAGGGGCTTAAGATGTATATTCCATTTCACTGAGGGGTGATATTGCACCATTCATTTTCCACGGGTATGAAGTAGTCCAAGGAGTTGTTTATATTCCCACACTACAGTAATGAATGCTTGTAGGGATTTAATCTAGGAGATGACAGCAAGGCTGACAAGGACACTAAACAAAAGGAGAGGGACCAAGGAGCCTGGAAATAAAATGGAGCTTTTCAAATAAAGGCCAGTGGGACATCTTAACTAGGTCTGCCATAGAAGATAACCTGGTACTCTGAATTCCTGAGAATATTCTCTTCCTACACCTGAGAAGTCTTGCAGCATGGAAATTGTGTTTATGCATGTCAGAGACAAACCTGAGAGCTGCTGTAAACAGTGAAGGCAACAAACCAAACAGTAATGGGGTATGATGGAATTATTAGGGGTAACAACTTAAAATGTAATCTCAGGCCTGTCTGTGTACTTGTACTAATCTTACTCCCTGTTGTTAAACACATTTTTGATGGGATTCAGGCCTAGATCTGTGCATAAGTCAGATGGCTGCCAGTGGGCAAATCACAATTGTTAGCTCAAGATCCAGCAAATTGCAGTTTCAGGTAATGAAGTCATTTACTATAAGCTTGCCCCCCAAATCACTGTTGTTTACATCTCTCAGAGCCTGAGAGAGTTTTAGGCCCAGAGAGGAATTGTTTTTTCTGAATAAAACGGGAGAACAGTAGCTGACAGGCCATGGAGTTTTAGAGTTATAGACCACAGCAGTACAGGATCTGAAAAATGGAAAAGCTAATTCCTAAGGCATCCCTGGGATCCCTGTGCAAGCTCTGAGCCAGCACACAGGCACTTCATGAACCCCAGAACTTTTCTGGCTTTATTTGCAGCTCCTGGATGAAGAAACACAACCCTGATTGCCCCACCCTGAGTAATCTGTGCTCACAGACTAAGTGTCAAGATGAAAAAAAGTCACACTTTAAATCATGTTGCAGCCACAGTAAGGAGGGTGAAACTACAGCTTAGCATTTGCTTCACCACTGATTACTCACTGTAAATATATTCAAGCAATTGTGCTCCAGTGTAGAGGGTAAATGACTTTTTCTCAGGGGAGCCACAGAGCTGTGGAACAACTTTATAACGTGAGATAAACTTCTGACACACCAGTCATAGATGGGGTTTTGACATTTAAGCACTTCCCTGGCTTCTGAGTGTCATGTTAAATAGAATACATTTTCTGTGGTGAAACAGACCTGTAAGACAGAAATATGTTGCACACTGTATAAACAGGGAGGATAAAGCTTTTCCTGCCTTGTAGAAAGGGAGAGATGCCCAGACTGCTATGGCACAGGTTGGGAGAAAAAATGCAGACATTTTGTCTTCTTTTCTGTAACTAGTTCATTCCTACTGGTACATGACATCTAACCAGTCTCATATTCTAAAATACTTTACTTAATGTGGTTATACTGGTTCCTTTTCCACACAGTCCAATAGATGAGCAGCATTCGGATTCATGACAAAATTAATACTTGTTAATACTTACTAATTGTTTATTTGGGTGCAGATCACTCTGTCCCTAGTAAATACATACAACACTATCCAACAAGTGTTACAAGAATTTTGGGGACTTTTGTGCTTCCCATTGAGCATTGTGTTGTGAAAGAATACACCTGACAAAATATTCAATTTCCTACTTTGTGTATTGGGAGACATTTCATTCTTCCCCATGTTAAGCTGTCATTAGGGCTTGATCACCAAAATGAGCAATATTTTAAGGCTGTAAAAAGAATATTGTGCACCACAACATCTTCTTTCCTGTATTCTTTCAGGGGAGCAAGTGGTCGATGTAAACAAATCTTCCTTCCTGACCTCACAACAAGAGTTTTCAGATATCATTTCAATGCTTGGATTCTCCTTTAAGAAACTGAATTATGGAAAACAGATTCTCTACATAATTGTCTTCAAGAAGGTGGACACAAAGAGTAATAGGTTAATAAAGGCCATAATTAAGTCTGTAAGGGTAGTGTTACTAAAGAGAAGGACAAGCTTCACACAATTTTCTGGGGGATTCACATTTGGCTGTTAGAGAGAGCCATACTAAGATGCTGCTTTGCTTCTTTTGAGGTTCAGAACAGTGAAAGTCTAGATGAAAGTCTTCAAATTGATGTTAGTTTATAATCTGATTGTTTAACATTCAGCCCTCCACACTGGTTACCCCTGGGCATAGACCAAAGGCAAATGTATCAGTGTTACAGAACCCAGTTCCAGTGCACTGAAAATGTACTAGTTACGAGCAACTAGCATTGCAACCATCCTAAGAATTAACAGCAGTGGAAAAATAAAGCCTTGCTGTTCCTAATTACAAGGCATCCTAGCTAGTTCCTAATTACATTTAAGCTTTCTTAGCTGTATTTGACAAGAGAATCCAGAACACACGTGAGGAATGGCAAGTTTCCTGCTACATCTTAAGGACCAAGAATTTCCTGTGGCTCTGTAATAAATTTCAACATTTCTATTTCTATATTGTTGGCAAATAATGCATTAAGTCATTGTAGAGTATCTAAAAAGTTTCTGCAAATGTACCAATGGATTGGATATTTCAACATCTATACACTGCTAGTAATTTATTGCTCTGCACTCTGCAGCAAGAAACTTCCAGGCACAGTGTGTTAGCACCTGGACAAATTACAGTCATTATTCCTCCATCTTCATGCTGTAGCATCACCCCAGTGATAAGATCTGCTTTTGGTTCAATAAGAAGGTTGTTGGGAACCATGCATTTTCTGCTCCCTGGAGAAAGGCATTCATTTCCACTTGGAATCAAGCAAAAAAAATCTATCCCAGCATCACAGAATATGGTGAGCTGGAATGACCCATCAGGATCAGTGAGTCCAACTCCTGGCCCTGCACAGAATGCTCCAAGATCACACCCTGTGCCTGACAGCACTGTCCAAACCCTTCTTGAATTCTGTCAGGCTTGGTGCTGTACCATCCACCTTGATTCATTTTAATTTGTTTAAATTTCACAAGAGATTTGTTGAGATCTACTCAGAGAGACCTATTTTTCCCAAAAACAACATTCTTGCTGACAGCATAATTAATTATATATATACTTTATATATATGTATATAATTACATTATATATAAAAATATAATTATAATTCAGTTCTTTGGATCATGGTTCTTGCTTATCTTTTTGCTCAGCTAAACTTTGGTGAATTGGTCCCTGATTTGGAGGGTCTCTGCTGGTGGTGGAGATGCCACATCCTTGATATTGCAGCTACTGTGTTCCTTGTGGCACATCTTGGGTGCTGCTGACACTTGAAAAACCAATTCTGATTGCACAAAGACAAAAAGAAACTTATGCAAAAGTTTTGCTGCTTTAAAAACATCTATGAAATATAAAAATTTGGCCTTTTATAGTACTGTGAGTTCCATAAAGCCCTTAAAATATGTCTGTCTTAACTGATATATACTACATGGAATTGTAACATCATCCACTATTTCATCATTGCTGCAGTGGAAGGAGAACCAAAGGCTGGGAAAAGGAGTGTGGGTTTAATTTCTGCAGGCATGTATGGAACCTTCTCTGGTTTCACAGCCAGGGGCTCAGTTTGGGAACATTTTGTGTGATTTACCCAGTGAAGGCAGGTGTTATCAGGCATTGACTTTTGCTTTAAGCTTTTTGTTGATTGACCAGAT